TATAAATTGTCTTTGTATATATATATATATATATATATATATATATATATATATATATATATATATATGTGTGTGTGTGTGTGTGTGTGTGTGTGTGTGTGTGTGTGTGTGTGTGTGAGTAATACTAAAGGTTATCAGCTTAAAGAAGTGCTACGCAAAAATACGACGTTTGGTGGCATGGTTAGAATTTTTTAAGACATCTGCATATATTTTATTGTGTGGAAATTTTATAAAAGACAATGAAAGTATTTAAAAAAATGAATTATTTTTTCTTGATTTCTTACAGGTAAGGTTCGTGGTGATTGGAGATGATCAATATATTTCCCGACATTTTTCATCTTATTTTTAGTTTTAATCGTGTCTTGTATTTTTAGCCTTGTTCTTGAAGTTGCCACGATCCACATACTTTTAAGAAAACGAGAATTATTAAATGCTCGCTGCAAACACTTAAATCCAATTTTATATATATATATATATATATATATATATATATATATATATATCAGAGACTGATGATCACTTCCCAGCAGAAAATTTTACTTTTAGTTGGAAGTTGAAATTGTTAGTGCTTTTTACCTGGATTTATGCTTAATGGTATTTGTGCGAAATTGAGTGAAGCGAATTCAGCTTGAATTGGGACTCAACTCACCAATCTTGCTATCCGTTATTAATACTCAAAGGAAATAGGTCAGTTGTGTTATTTGGATCAGTACTCAAATCTTCATGGGTTCTTTTTATTCAAACGACGGCTTTTTTGATGAGAGAGAATTTGTATAAAGAGAATGTTTACTGAGACGCGTGCCGAAACATGAAAACCGAGAAAATGTTAAGTAAAATATAATTGAATTTGGGAAGATGAAAAATCGTGTAAGACAGATTCAATTAGAGGGAAAAAAAAGAAACAAACGTAATTGTAACCTACTTGAATGAATTCGTAACTGAAATAAAATCAATGAAAAGCGAGAGAGTTAAAGAATTACTCCATTAATTTTGATTAATAGACAGACAAAATAACAGACAGAAAGCAAAATCTGAAAATGATGTGTTAAGACGTTGTAATTAAACCATTATACTTAGATGTATCTTACAGTATGGGATCTATAGTTATATCAACAAATTTGTAGACTAAAGATTAAAAAAAGCAGTTTTTAATCATTTCACCCCAGGTAAGGGCATAAAGCCACTAAGATTCATGGATTGCTGAGCGTGAAAGAATATATATAAAAAAAGGATTACGCAGGCGCGAGAACAATAAAAGCATATAAATTAACAAGACAGAAGATAACGATTGGTATAGAATTTAATTTTTTTTTAAATCAAGCTGAAAAACAAGAAACAGAAAGTGAGTTCGGCAAGTGAGAAGTGCGAGAAACGGAACAGAACTTACCGTTACCGCAATCATTTCAACTGTAAAATCATTAGATCTTGCTGACAATCTAATACTGCGCCTAAATTTATAGAGTATCGGTATCAGGAGAGTGCACCAGAACAATTACTATGAAACTATTTATTTAAAAAGCACATGGAAGCTACATTACGGCGCTGGAAGAGTGACTGAATCCGAGATGCCAGGTCAAGACCAATGACATTGCAGATACTTCTTTGGATTTTATTATGGATATCTAAATATATAACAGGGACACCAGGTCGTCTATGGCAGTAATATTTAAAGCATAGACGCATGGCAGACGTCACGCCGGATATATTTTCCGACATCGCCTCTCCTTTCTGAATTCACGAATATTGCAGATCAAAATTCAGCTAAGAAATTGTAAGGCCGTGGATTTATTGATCCAACATTGTATACATATATACTGACAGCTGAAAAGAATATATATGCATTTGCGTGTATTAGTATCATATTTACTTACATTTAAGCTTTTCTTTTGTAATTCATCCAAGCAAGGCGATATTGCCACTAAGACACAAGGGGATACTTAGAGTAGAAGAGAATGAGAAGACTTTAGAAGTAAGCAGAAACCCAGTCTTAAACAGGAATCAAGGGATAAACCTCTACTCCTTTTCAAGAGACTGGGGGGGATGTGAATCGAATGATAAAGCAATGTATCTACTTTAAAATTATTGTAGATTTCTATTTGAATATATTCATCTAATTAATTGAAATGTATTCAATGGTGACTATTTGAGATTTGCTTATTAACCACATGGGACAAAGATATTTTCTTACTCTTTCTTCATATCCAGGAGGAATTTGTTTGAAAAATTTAAGAAAATTGTCTCTTTTGATGTTCAATATGTCAACGTGTGGAATGTCTTGTAGGCCATTCAACGGCAATCATTGCTTTACTTATATACGAATTATCTTTAGACAATATCCAATTCGTTTCCAGTGTAAGGAAAAGAACAACTCAAAAGAATTTGACAAACATTTATTCATGGGCATCACTACTAACACAATTATATTATTTTTGCTTGGTGTTGTCAAATGTCATTTGCCATAACCAGGTGTAAATATTGTCAGTTGAATTTTAATGAAGGAAGTACCGTATATACTCGAGTATAATTCGATTTCATATATAGTGCAACCCTTGAAATTTTTGCATGAATTATAACCCTCACAGAAAAAAATTACCTATGTATAATGCAACCGGTCCCCCAAAACGTACGATTTTTAACTTCTTTAAAAAATACCTGTGTATAGTTCGACTCCATATCAGTTTGCGTAAAAAAACTGATCATAAAAACTCGCCCTGTACTCGAGTATATACGGTACATTAATCTGCATTTTTACCATATAACATAAATACTTAGAACACCTGTCTTTATTTACCTATAGCGTTTCTCTCAGGATATGTATTTTACGAGAGATTTGTGGAGCAGGCTGAGAAAAGGTGAAAAGTGAACGAAAATAGTATGACAAGAAATTAATCTGTCTTCTTGTATGTGACCATCTATCCACTGTGTCCCTTCAGGCGAGCATGGCTCTCCACAATTTCCTGTCGTAGTAAATTTTGTCTCTTCTAATCCCTGTTCTGTCAGAAGCTCGTTAGGTAGGCATTATTCACTGCTTTCTTCTGTCCCACTTGCCTTAAATATTCAGATGAGTGAAATCTCCTAAACCCTTTTCCCCTCATTATCTGCTCTAGAAAATTTCAACCGTCTCTTTCTGGTTCTAAGGATAGGTATGTTTTTGTTTCCGTTTTCCTTTAAAATTTCATCGTCACTCATATGCTCATTCTATCGTATTTTCAGCATCCTTCTGCAGAAGCACATTTCTATTACCTGGAGTCTCGTCTTCTGTTAGGAGATTGACAAGCATTCACTATCATAAAAGAGAACCGATATTACATAACAGTTAAATACAGTTTTGTTTGTTTCTAGCGAGATTTTCCTGTTTCTTAATATTTAGCTTGGCTTTTGGAAGGCATTTTTCGCTGAGCCTTTGGATTTCGATGTCGCATTTTCTGTTCGTAGTTAAAACACTTCATAGATATTTAAAATGTGTACCTGCTTGATTTTGTTATTTCCAGTTTGTAATTTGCATGTTGGGCTCCTTTTTTATTCTTACAGCCATACATTCTTAATGTTTAGTCCATTCTTCTCACATTGTCTTACCATTTTCTGTAGGAGTACCGGTATTTTCTTTCTTCTACTACCAATACTTACTTCCTCTTAATAACAAATTCACTTTTATGTTTGCTGAATTAATGCAGGCGATTTACTTAAGTCTACTCAAGTGTAAAACAGTTCAGTCAAAAACATATCTTTGCTAAGTTCATGTGTTTAAAAACATTACAGAATCTGCGTTGAGAAGCCAAAGAAATTTATCAGATAGTACCGAACTTCTTGCTTGGATTGAAGGAGGCAGTATTTTGCGCTATTGCTGGCGTTTGAAAGGCACCTAATAAATATTCACGAGGGAAGATGGCGGTGAATAGCCGAATTAAAGATGGTTGAAAACAAAGTCTCCTCGAAAAAAAATATGAAGGAAGCAAATCAAGTTGTAAATCGTAAGGAAGATTATTCAGAAAAAGTTAGGGAGCATGAACAGAAATAAATGGGGTAAAATGGGAACTATGGAAGGGTAGAATTACAGGGAGAGAGGAAAAGAATATATTGAAGAGGATAAGGCGGATGTAGCAGAATTGTTTGAGACAATACGAATTTGCTTAACAGTAAGCTTTAATCAAGCCCTCACCACAAGCCGTTTTTTAACGTGTGGCTTTCCGACCGTGGACGCTCGGGTAAATTCCCCGTATAAACTGTAGAAGTCTACGTGTCCAGACGAGACTCTGCTTTTTGGCATGACTTCGTCTGGTTTCCTGCCTGCCTGAAAGCAGAGAGTTTGACAAGCTGAATATTGTCAAACTCAGTGCTTTGTCGAACTCGGTATTTATCCCAGTAGTGCCCACAAGGCGGGATGTGGCACAAGGCTATTTTTACGTGAGGCGTTTGAAGTCCGTAGGCTCACGCAATATTTCGTCTGTGTTTCTCCTTGCTTGAATTTAGAGATGCTGACAGAGTATTTTTAGGCTCGGGCAACTATTTCCCATAAACCTCGAATACACGGGGTCGTGTTTGTCTACCTCGCCGGACGGGTCGCTGCCATTTGGCATAGTCTCGTTTGGGTTCCTCTCATCTCGAAGACAAGCTGAATTTGACAAGCTGAGTACTGTCAAACCCAGAACCTCGTCCGGGTTACTCCCTTCCTGAAAGCAGAGATGTAAACAAACAGAATATTAGCAAACTCAAGGTTTTGATGAACTGTTATTTACCCAAGTCCCCCCCACAATGCAGGATGTAGCAAAAGGCCTGTTTTTTTTACGTGGAGCGTCCCGACCCCGTAGGCTCGGGCAAAATTCTCCGTAGACCCCGTAATAACGGGTTTGGCTTGTCTAAATCCCCAAGTTCTAGTTTTCTGTGGGGAACACGAGCGTTTCCACTCGGGACAGTGATCAAAATTTACCCAGCTCCCGCTAAAGCAGGTTTGGATACATTGTTTTTCTCTGCTGAGTCACCCTATGTAGACAGAGACCCGGCTAAGTCCTCCTCTGCCCGAAAGAGAGAGAGAGAGAGAGAGAGAGAGAGAGAGAGAGAGAGAGAGAGAGACAGACAGACAGACAGACAGACAGAGAGAGAGAGAGAGAGAGTTTAGCAATTAGAGACAGGCAGCGGAACCCCTGTCTACTGCGAGTTTTGGTGAAGTCGGCAATTACCCAATCATTCCCACCCGGGCCAATGGTCAAAATTTACCCAGCTCTGCATTCACTTCCTCGAGTACAATTCGTTTTGCTTTTCTCGACCGTATCTCTATCGTTAGACGGAGCCCCCGCAGAGTCGGCCTTTGTCCGAAGACAGATGTCTTGACAATTGCAATCCAAAGCCTCCGCCGGATCCAGACAGCGAACTGCCTGACTCCAACGAGTTTTGGCAAAATCTGCAAAGCGGCAGTATGGCTATATGTGTTCAGGACAGGTCTATTACTGGGGGAAATATATCATACCACAGGTGGATTAGAAATATAGATACAACAGAGATATAAAACTGAAGGGAGAAAGAAGGTGAGAGTGAATGGGAACATAAAAATATTGCAGCAATATTGATAGAATTCAAAGATGTTGAAATCAAAGATGGAGGCGGCAAATGAGATAAGAGAAGAAAAGGTGATATAACTAATAAAGTGAAAATTAATTTGTGCAATTATCCTATAAAAGCGACAGAAATAGATAAGATAGTAACATACACACGCTCACACACGGTGGGTGGGGTGTAAAGAGAAGAACATCATCGGAAGTGAAAGCTAAAAGAAAAAAAAGGGAAGAAATTAGAAAATGTATTTTTAAACTGGTCAGTTGAAGACAAATCTTAAAAGCAAACGACTAGTGATAGAGAGATAGATAAACAGGAATAAAGACAGAGATGATGACAAGACAAAACATTCAGGAAGAAAGAATAGAAATGCTTTTACTTTTGCAATTTGTTGCAAGTTCTGTTCTCATTTAAGAGCGTCTAAGAATTTCCATATTGTGTGATGATGGAAATGACTGTTACTGTAAAGAAAGCTCTATGCCATCCTTTATTATTGGTTCTAGGTAAATCAGCATTGACTCTCTCAAAGCAAGACTACATACGTATTTCAAACATAGGTATTTCGAATAATTATTATTTAGCATAATTGTCTTTTCGATTCATTTTCATTCAAATAATTTACAATTGGAATAAATGACTTTCGAATAATTTTTTGCGAACTATTATTTTCGAACAATTTTCTCGATACGGAGTAAAAAAAAAAATTGAAACCTCTCATGGGGTGCACCAAGGTTTTTTGCAACACAGTTGATTTGTCGTGACATCTTATATTAAGTCAACCTTTTGTCCTATCTAACCTCGTTGAGAGGCAAATAATGCTATTGATATAAAGGTTGCTGGCTGGAAGATATCGTTTAGCAAGGTAATCTCTAAAAATATTTTCAGCAACTTAATTCTAGACTGCGTGGTCGAATACTATTTCTATGCACGAGATCGGATTATATATCAAATATTTAAATATGACCCATGACCATTACCTTCGGCCTGATACTGGTCATTATCAACAGTATTTCGAATAATCGCTCTCCTGTTGGATTATCCATAGCTGATGAAATGTATCTTTATTTTTCTACAGACATCAGCACTCCATATCTGACCATCTTTGTACAGCTTAGGTGGTTGCGTTTTGAATCTAGACTTGTCATTTTTCTAGACTGGTTATAATTACAGTTAAAGAGCTCTTTCTTCCTGCTATTTGAACCATGCGTGAAGATGAGACGGATTTATACCCTTCCTAAAAGAATGTGTTTTAAAATAAATCTAACAGACTCGATCGGATTTCTAACTCGCCGATCTCATTCCGAGACTCTAAACAATATACCAATTGCATATCCAATTTAAACATATACAGCCATAGATGCTATCGTAGTAATGTGCGTCCTTTCATTTTTTTACTTTATTTCATCCCCCCTCTTTTCACTTGTCTAAAACAGTTATTTTAATTAGTGAACCTGGTATTATCAGGCAAATATCAAAAGAAGAAGCCAATTCAGTCGGCTGTCCTCACTTTGTCATCTTGAACAAAATGGACGTTTTTGAAGCATCCTGATGGAAGCAAACACTGAAGAAAAACATGAAAAAAAAAATGAAGAACAGGCTGACGAGAAGAAAGATTTTTCTGTATTTTGGATACATCCTACCGTTTTAATTCTTTATCAAAATTGCAGAACTAATTGAAAAGCTGTAACACGAAATTTGCACCTGGCACAAATGACGTGTTGGGCAATTTTGTTTCAAAACGAACGAGAGAGAGAGAGAGAGAAGAGAGAGAGGAAGAGAGAGAAAGAGAGAGAGAGAAAGAGAGAGAGAGAGAGAGAAAGAGAGAGAGAGAAAGAGAGAGAAAGAGAGAGAGAGAGAGAGAGAGAATTAAAAATAGGAAACGACTGTTAAAGAAGTGGATTTGGAATTGAAGAAAGGTGGCACAAAAAAAGAAAAAAAAAGAAAAAAAGATACAGTAAAATATACATAATAATGCAATAATTTCCGCATGGTCGTAATTCTGTCTCTATATCCATAATATAACGATAAAAATATTTTTTACAAAACATTTTTAATATGATCTGTGAATCCAATTAATTCAGCGGTGAATATTAATCGCACAGAGAAAACATATACAATGAAAATCTACATGTAAATACAGCTAATAACTTATTAGCCTAATACAGAATTTTACACGATTTTAAACTATTATAAATTATTAAAATTAAAAAAAAAATGAAAAAATTCTTGTAAAACTTCATTATTCATCAGAAAAATTTTATTTCTTCAGGCAATAATGCCTTTACTTAATTGCAAAAGCAATTAAAAGCTTTTCTAATTAAGTAATATCATAGTTTTATTGCATTCATTATTTTTCAATTCAGAGCAGATTTTCAGTTAGCTCAAATTTGAAAAAAAAAGTAGGTGATTTACAATCTCCAAAGATTCATACTTTTAACATAAAAAAAAAATCAGGAAATAGAAAAGTTTTGTGTAAAATTTCATGAAATTATGTAAGTGGGAGGGGGGTAACATATTTTAAAAAATATTTTCTACCAAAATTTAAAAAAAAAAAAAACAATTAAAAAATAATTTCATTCATTTGTGAATAAGTCCTGAAAATTTCATTAAAATCGGACAATTGATTTTTACAAGAATTTCCAAATCAATGTGTTTTCAACGGAAAAAAGCGCAAAAAAAAAAAAACGAAAAAAAACACGTCATTTTCTGCCACCGCGATGACGTAAACAAAAGAAGACTTTAACCAAAATTTTGAACGTGTTAGAAAGGATTCAAAAAATTTAAAAAAATAATTAAAAAATACTTTGGTCTTTCATTTTAATAATAACATAAAAATTTTGACGATAAAAATTTATTTTCGTTAAGTTTGTTTTTTTTTCATTACACTCTCTGTTTTCCCGCGAAAAACTGAAGGGACCTAGTTAAGTGTGTCCGGATCGGGGAAATATCCTCTGTGTCTATTCCATAGAGTAGTGGTTGGCAGGAGGAAACGGTATGAGTAAAACTTACTACTTGCCGATTGGGGGAAAGGCATGTGGTTTGCTACTATATAAGTGGCATGGCGGGTTCCAGGCGTGAAAGTTAGACCTGGCAAATAAAAGAAACAAATACCTAGCTAGATCCCGGAGTCATATAGACTCACACGAGGGACTCTTTTTACATATGAACATTTTGTCTTTCAATGGAGATATAAAAAATCATAACGAAGCGACAGGCAGAACAGTTACTGCTGCATTTAACAGGAGACACGTGGAGCGTTTGATTTCATGAAACGGATTACAGGAATTGATTACAAGCCAGAAAAAAAAACAAAAACTATTTTATAATTTTTTCTCTATACAGTGGAATCCGGATATAAGAGAGTTGTCGGGACCGGAGAAGAAGTCTCTTATATCCGGGTTTTTCTTATATTTGGGTTTGGTCTATTTTATATACATTAACACAGGCTCTAATTTGGGACCAGAGAAAATCTCTCTTATATCCGGGTTTCTCTTATATCCGGGTTACACTGTATAAGTTAAAATATTGCCCGTAATTAGGTTTCAATAAAATTTACATTTCATATGTCTTCTTATTTATGATAATTGGCATTGAGTCCCGTATCTTAGGTTCGAGTCGGGACAGGGGTTATCTAGCACCGGCATTGTGATCATTAAATCTTTTCTTTCTGTCTATATTTCTGAGATGAGGTATTGTAATTATTCATGCTATTTACATTGTTCGGACTGTTGCCCTCATCTTTATCGGTTCGAAATTTCAATCCCCCGAAGAGATCCGGAGAGTACAACAGTCGAAATGTTGTGAACATGGAAACAAAGATGAGGACAACAGCCCGAACAATATAAATACTGTAAATAAATCTATTCTGTACATTATTTACATTATTCGGACTAATGTCCTCATCTTTGTCGCCATATTTATCCCAACGTTTCGGCCGTTGTACGCTCCGGCCTTCTTCAGGTGGTTGGAATTTCGAACCGAACCCTTTATTTCGCTCACTGGGGTAGACTGTTCTAGATCTACGTGCCATGTTTTTGATGGATGTCAGTTATCAGTTATCTCCTTCTAATTTCCATCTGAAAGTTCTCCATTGTCTTAACCGGGTATTGAACTCACACTGGCACGGTGGATAAAAGCGTTGGTTAGACCCAGTGACAGGACCCCAAGAGTGTGAGTTAAACGTTAAGGCAGTGGAGAACTTTCAGAAGGAAATTAGCAGGAGATAACTGATAAGTGACATCCATCAAACATGGCTTGTGGAACTAGAACAGTCTACCCCAGTGAGCGAAATAAAGGGTTCAGTTCGAAATTCCAACTACCTGAAGAAGGCCGGAGCGTACAACAGCTGAAACGTTGTGATAAATATGGTGACAAAGATGAGGGCATCAAAAGCTAAGCAAATCAAATTAAGAAACAGGAAATTTTCGTTAGAAACGAAGAAAAGAATACTGTGCTATTATGATATGTCAGTCCTTCCATATGGTGGTGAGGGCTGGACAATATATTCACCGATGAAGATAAAACTTTAAGGAACAGAAATTTGGTTCTACAGAAGGATGCTGAGAATGTAATTGACTGAACATGTGAGCAATCGCGAAATTTTACAGAAAATAGAAACAAAAAGGACACTGAAACTGAACACCGGACAGAGACAGTTAAAATTTCTAGGGCACATAATGAAGAAAGAAGGCTTGGAAAATTAGACACTCTCAAGACATCGAAGGCAAGAAGGATAGAGGAAGGAAGCACATAACCTACATAACGAACATTACTAAGAGTTACAAAAGACAGGAAACTGTGGAGCGTCATGATCGTCAAAGTCCTGAAAGGTCATAACACAAAAAAAAGGATAAGACAGTAACATTTTGTCACTATGGATTCCAACAAATACAAAGAAATCCTTTTTTTTTTTTTAGATTTTATTTCGGTCGAGACGTCAAAAGGTTGTTTTGCATCTAGCTTCACTTTTAATCGATTTGGATTCTCGTATGAAATCTACATTTCAGAACGGTTCTTATCAGAATCGAGCAAGACAAATAAAGAAAAAGGCTGGTCGAATAGATGGTTTCCGACTGTTCGCGTAGAAATTCTTTTTTCAGCTTCAAAATATTCTCCTAAGGTTTGTATACGACGCATTATATTTGCCTGATTAAACTTCAAAGACACTTCTAAGATTTTCGTAACACCGAGGAAAAAAAAATCTTCTGCATCAACAAAACAAAAAAAAGTGATAAATGTAGTGAAAAGAAAACAAGGAAAAGGAAAAAAAAAAGTGAAAAAAGCGAGGAAGAGAGCGAAAAAAGGAGAGAAGACAAAAGATGAAGTAAAAAGGAAAGAGAAAAGTAAAAAGAGGGTGAGGAAGTGAAATATATATACATATATATATATATATATATATATATATATATATATTTCACTTCCTCGACCTCTTTACCATTCATCTCTCCCTCACCTCCTATTTTCTCTGTTTAATCTATATATCATTCTCTCTCTCACTCTCTCTCTCTCTCTCTCTATATATATATATATATATATATATATATATAGTGAGAGAGAGAATGATATATAGATAAAACAGAGAAAATAGGAGGTGAGGGAGAGATGAATGGTAAAAGTTTATTAGATGCAATAAGGAGAAAGAGATAGAAAAATAACAGGAACAGACAGAGGGAAAGAGGGATGAGAGAGGGAGGGAGAGAGATGGAGAGAGAGAGAGAGAGAGATAGAAACCATACTACAATGGAAGGACAGAGAAAACGTAAAAGAAATGAAAGGCAAAGTATGTGTGTGTGAGAGAGAGTACGAAGAAAAAAGGAAAGTGAAGAGAAAAGATGGAAAAAGAAATAGCATAGAAAGCGAAAATACAAGCCAATTAAAAAGTGAAACATCTGAAAAGAAACGCAAGAGGAAAAAGCTATCAGGATAAGACAGCTAAACGAACGGGTAAATTTTATCAAAAGCAAAATGAAAGCAAAAACGAGATCTGCAGAGAAGAATAATTAGAGATATAAAAGCAGATTTAGTTATATTTCGCCATGAAGACCGGCAATTAGTCAAGAAAATGAAAAGATTCCAAGCTAAACGAAAAAGTGCGACGACATTAAAATTGAAATTATTGGCAATTAACAAAAGGAGAAGATACGAATGAATGAGAACGAAAAGAAGCTGGAGCGGAAACGGAAGTAAAAGCAAGCATGCAAGAAAGCAAGATAGAAGAGATGAAGTAGCATAGAAATAAAGTATAAATAATGAAAAATAAATGAATGAACGCGTTCGGTAAATATAAAACAAAGCAGAAGACCGAAGATGAAAGCAAATAATGAAAGCTGCAGAAAAATCGAATTGAATGTGAACACCGTTTAAGGTGGCCTTATGTTGATATCGATTTCTGGAATAAGCAAATTTTATTCCGGCTTCACAAATATGGCTGCCTGGTATTGATAGAAAATTGGAACGGCCACCTTTGCGACATCATCGTCTGCGGATTTCAATTCCCGGGTTCCATAAATGGTTAGGTGGGAAAAAGTTGAGTAGGAGATTTTACCAGATTTCGTTCTACTCTGTGAATATAAAAGATAAAAAATGATTGTCGAATTAAATTTATTATAACACAAGATCACTATTCCATTTATATGCATACCTGTAAATATTAACTTCGTTAAAGATATTGCATACGCACAGAAATGCGAAAAACAAGATATTTCACTGGTTTAAGCCCGCTTATATTTGAGTTCAAATGTGATCATTTAAAAAAAATCTCAACGCGTAATTGTGACACTACATGTTTTCATGTAACTGTGAAATGGTCTCGAAGGCACGAACTCATGGTTACTAAATTACTTTTCCTTATTTGATCGTTCGCCTGAAAGCAGCATAATTCAGTTTGTAACGAGCAGCGTCTGCGGTTGCAAAGATTAATTGCGTTGTCTATATAAAAGCATTCTCACTATAGTTTTGCATTCATAACAATGTGAATCTTGAGGTCTCTGGTTCAAGTTTGATCTAGAACTAAGATCTGCTTTTCATATTAGAAAAAAAAGTTTATATAAAGCATTTAGCGGTACAAACCACTTGTAAATGTATTTTGACTCAAGTCATCTTTTAATCTTTGTTAGATTATTTTTCATCCAACCATTTATTTTTAGCTCATGTCTGGTAGTGATAGCACATCGCTCGGCTTGAATCCATCATAGAAACCATGATACGGAATTAATATACTAAAGTGTGCATAGTGTTGTTATAACAACTTGGGGATAGGAGATAACGAAATTAAACTATTTTTTAATAGCTTTCTCTTAATGACTTGATTGTATTGCAGGAAAGTGTAATGCAAAATATTAACCTCGGCCCATGTTAAATAGCCTTGTCGGATCTGGATTCGCTTATGGATGTTATGCATGACAGAAGGAATGTCTCAACTATAAGCTATATGCAACCGTTTTCTCAGATCAATGATTACAAATGGCTTCAAGCGAACGAATCATCAAAGTCTTCATTTTTCAATAGAAAAAATAGAATGAAGAACATTCTTCAATAGATCTTATAGAATCACATAAAAATATCTTTACCAAATAACAAAATCTTCAACTGATGAAAACTTCCAACAGCAGCAACATCAAAAATGGATAGGACATGGTTATAAGCAAGATGCTGATGTTCGAAACTACTGTAAAAAAAACAAAAAAAAAAAACAAACAAAAAAAAAACGTTGGAAGGAGACTCCCATCGATATGAGCCCGTTTACCTAAAAAGACTGTTTTAAATGAAAGATTTTATAAATTTAAACCGATAGTTTTCAATAACAGTTCAGTCTATGAATTAATTAGTTTTTTGTAAATAAATATGAACTATACGAATCTTTCAAATACCAAAGTCAAGCCTTCAGAATTTCTAAATTAATTCGTAAATTTAAAAAAAACAAACTGTTACACAAAAACAGATATGCAATATAAGTTTATTTATCAGACCAAAATCGCTAGAACTATTCTATTTTACAGCAGCCATATAATGATCCTTAGTTAGCTAAAAAAATAGCTAGGTGTTGCTATTGACCTGGAGAAATTGCTGCCGCCGGGCGTAAGACGTTCACTATAGACATTTTCTCTAAAGTATAACAGGATGACCAAATAATTATGCTTAGTCGTTCAGAAGCTTTTTCATAAAGAAATTAACTTGTGATCCTCTAAAATGTATCTTCTACGTGCCATGAACCTTCAGGACATTAAGCGATATTGTATCCGTTGTAGCTCTAAGCAATGGTTGTCTTCTTACCATATCTCCCAGCCCCTGTTCTGTCATTCATTAACACATGCTCTTTATCTAGGTTACTCAATTTTACCCTCTGCCACTCTTGCCTTCAATATGCCAAGAGGGCGGCAGAATATCTAAAACCTCTTTCCTGGTTCCCAGAAATTTCAAATATCTTTCCGATTCTAAGTACATTATCCTTTGCGTTCTGATTTTCTGTAATAATTCATCATTTCTCATCTGTTCCGTTTGTCCAAAAATGTGGCTTTACAGTATCCTTCTATAGAAATACATCTCTTTTGCTTCAAGAAAGAAAAAAAAATATGAAAGGCTCTATTGCGTTAAGAGGTTAAAAATCTTAATTTTCATTTCTGTTTTTAATGTATTGTATTGACACCAAGAAATGGTTTACGGCCATATCACATTGAAATAACGGTTCTCGTACAATCATCGGAATTAAGCAACGTCGATCCTGGTCATTAACCGAGACTGATGACCGATTGGGAATACTTGATGCTGCAAGGTTGGATGTGCGGCCGGGGTAATGGATAATAGCTCGGAATTGTTAATCGGAGAGTCGAATTCCAATTACCGAATGGTTCGTTATATTGACTTACGTGCAAATAACCTTGGAAACTGTAGGAATCCACCTCGTCTCCCCTCAGCTATGGGTTAATTTGTAAAATTTGCATAACTAAATTATTATCATCTAAAAAAATGATCTTAAAATATAAAAATATAAAAAATATTTTGTGGCTTTAAATAACCTGCAATAGGTTGACAACCCGTAGAAGATAAATCAGTCAATCTTTCAGACTGTATCTAACCATTGAAAAGCAGATAAATGGAAGATAAACGCTGTAAGGAGAATGAACAAGTAATGAACATAAAGAATACCTAAGGATTTGCTTATTCATTGAGTGATATATATATATATATATATATATATATATATATATATATATATATTTATGAATAAAAATGACAATAGGAAAACTGTTAATTGTTGACGCGTTTCGTCCAATGTGGACTTTATCAAAGCAAAAATACGAAAATGAAATTAAATGAACAACGTATTTTGCTTTGATAAAGTCCACATTGGACGAAACGTGTCAGCAATTATCTATTGTCATTTTTATTCATAAATATTGTCTTCTCTACCGATTAAATTGGAGAAATTTTCATATATATATATATATATATATATATATATATGATTATTTATTTAAATATATGATTCCAAATCGCTACATAAGAGGTCTCATGTTTCAAAACAAGAGCCGAAAACTTAAATATAATCCTTTAAATTAAATTGAGTTGAAATTAAAATCGGCTCCGTTCCATCTTCAAGCGAAATTTTAATACAAATAAGAATTAAGCTTATATTAGGTAATGATCATTTTCACCTTGTAAATTGCAATAAAATTTACAAGGATTTTTGAAACCAGTCAATAGATGACAAATTATTGAAATAAAAATGGGCAGTGCTTCTGACCCAAATTTTATTAGTGTTATTAATTAAATTAATGTCTTTCTTGAAAAGGGGAATATTTTTCCCGAAACTCATATTATTTTCTATACTGAAGTGAACGTTTCTGAAAGGTTCCAATAGTTTGCAAGAGGGTAGAGTTCTTTTAATTTTTAAATTGAAGAATCGGTGTTCCTTGTTGTAACTTTCAGAGGGATTAAGGTAGAAATAGGTTCCATCTTAATCTTTATAAATTCAACGATTTTTTTCGGTTAGGGATAAACTAAAAGAGTGACGAGAAGGATATGGAATGTTTTTAGGAGAGAATTTATCCATGACGGTAGATGGTGGAGAAAATTTTCAAAATTCCAGAGGGATTAAAATCCAAGAGAGTTCAACTATAAATATAGGAGCCAATATACAGGCATATAATCCAAGTGAATCCGATTAATACAATATCAAATATTAAATATTAAAACTGATTCACACGAACTGCTCAATGTTTGAATTAAACAAGGCAACATATTACATACAATAGGAATTAAAACATAGGGTTTAATGATCATGTTCACCTTGCAAATTGGAATAAAATTTATAAGGATTTTTCAAACAAATCAATGGATGATAAATTATTGAATTTTTGAATTGTCTGCAATTTTAATTGCAATAATTCATGATCCATTGACAGGTTTGAAAAATCCTTATAAACTTTATTTCAATTTACAAGGTGAAAATGATCATTAAGCTAATGCAAGTTTAATTATTTTTAAAACCTATATAGATTTATTACCTATGAATATATATATATATATATATATATATATATATATATATGTGTATATATATATATATATATATATATATATATACACATTATACATTGATAGATATAAATTGAATGAAGGGTGTGAGAAAAATGGTAAAGAAATGTGACATTATTACAGAAAGGATTCTATGTATACACAAATACAAAAAGAGGAGAACAACTTGATAGACGGCAATTATATATTAAAACACTGAAAAAAAGAGCATGAAAAGGGGTGGGTGAGATGTGCGGAAACGACTAGTATTTCAGAAATGTTTATTGCACGAGTAATCTTTCACAATTACAATATGGGCGACATCCGTCCGCCAT